CCTTTATCCTTTCAACATGTGTTCGTCAGGACAAATGATTCAAAACTGAAAGTATTCATGGTTACGGTATAATGGTTAATGACCCCTATGCTGTGCACCCTTTCCTAACTGAAGCGTTTGAAGAAAAAACTGTTCATTTTTAACGGACGTCGTGGGGCCTTCACTCAACTGAGTGACCGGGCCTTCTGAATCAGGAGGGGTCGTCTATAGCATAATCTACAACTTCCCTAACTGATAGATTCTAATGAGATTCCGCTGACTTGAAAACTCTCTGATTCCCAACTGAATGGATTGGTGTAGAGTAAACGGCTTCAAATCTGTGCGGATGCTTTCATTCCGCACGAACCATGGAGCATCCAATAGCATCCGTAGTATCTTATTTTGCATTCTTTCCAAAATGGGAAGATGAGTCGGAGCGGTTTGTCCCCCAAACGCCTAAAGCTATATTACGACAGGCTTGAACATCGCATCTTGTTGTACAATAAAACCTTGTTCTTAAGGTTGACCTTCGAATTACGGTTAATAAGAGGATAAAGCTCAGTTAACCCCATTTGGATGTTGCTCTTGGTCATCTCGACGTTGTGTTTCCAGGTGAGATCACGGTCTATCATAAGAACCAAGTACTTGACTCGGGACTGCCATTTGATCTCCCTACCTGAGATCATTACCCTCGTGTTCGGAGAAACGTTACATCTAAATCTATCGCCTGGATTTTGTATGGATTCACCCAGACCTTCCAGTGAAGGTACCAGCGTTCGGGGTCGTCCATTGCACGTTGCGTGTAGATGACCCCGAACATACGGCCCATGGAAGAGTCGAGGAGAGTCGTATCATCGGCGTAAAGGAAAACCTTTACGTGGTCGAACCTGGGGAGGTCGCTCACATAGAAACTGTAGAGTAGTGGATACACCACGGCTCCCTGGGGCACTCCAGCGTGGATTTCCCTGATGATACGGAATTCAAATGGTCTTCCTTTCAGAAAGGACCTAATCCACCAGAGTGGCCCCCGAAGCAGGTCGAAAACGAGCATTTTATGTAGGAGGTTTTCGTAACAGACACGATCGAATGCCTTTGAAATGTCAAGAAGGACAAGATGTACTATTTTCATATTGTTCAGGTTAGAGGAGTTCTCGACCAGTCTCAAGTCCTGCAGTTCGAAGAAGTGTGACCTCTTAAAGCTGAATTTTTCGCCATGCACACCATTTCGATCTTCAACTTCTTCTGTCAGCCTCTGCAGCACAACACGTTCAGTCAGCTTAGCCGTTGAGCTCAGCAGACTAATCGGACGATGTTTTTGGGGAAACAGTGGGTTCTGGCCCTGTTTCGGGATCATGGTGACAACGGCGTATTTCCATCTTCGAGGGAAGAATCTGAGGGAGAGTAAGTTGTTAATTATCTCTAACAGATATTTGATGAAGTTCTTGGGGAGCTAATTCAACAAGCTATTGTAGATTGAATCAGCTCCCGGAGCCTTCCTAGGCTTAGAGGCCCTTATGTAACCCCTCAGTTCTTTCTCCGAAGCTGGACGGACCACGTCATCATCATTTTCCTTGGGGGTACGCCGAAACCGGCGGATATCACGGTCAATTTCATCATCCGGGTCAACGGTAAGATGGATCAGACCCTCCGTTGTGTCTGCAAAGGTCAAAGCTTTCTCAGCGAGGGAGTAGCAGATTCCGCGCTGTGCTCTCGATGCAAAATTCGGCTTCAATTTATATTTTGTCCTGCGCGCTGATTGGCGGAGATACGATTTCAAGATTAATTTCGCATGGAGACGATATTAATTATTTTCTATGACAATTAAAATAATCATCCAGTTTATTTTCGATATTTTCAAATGGCATATTATTACATATGGCATTTATGAAACCTTCACCTGCAGCAGGATCTTTCTCAACTAGAGTGAAGTAGAACAACTCCATCTCGTGAACAAAACCCACAAACCGTGTACATTTTGATACACAGGAGGTGTTGGAGATTTCTAAAGAACTTTCCAACAATGATCATTGTCTGAATACTCAAGTAAACTTAAACAGAGATTTCCTTCCCCTTCATAAGAGGATTATGAATTATTAATTAATCACAGTTTATTAATATGATTTATTCAATATTTTTCCTCTACAAATTTAAGCAAACCCTTAATGGATCACTCCTCAAGTTGGTACCATTATTTTAACATGACACTTGACACATTCTGTCTCAAATTATCCTTCTTCATAAGATACTTTGACTGAACCACATGGCCTCAATCCAAAAATGTATTTTCTTGGCTATAAGCCTATTTTGTTTTAATTCAAATATTACAATGTACAATTCACTTATCTTGATACTTCCTGTTGCCTGACAAGTTTCCAAAGTTGCCAAATTTCTTAACCTTAAAAAAAAAAAAATTTACAACTTCAACTTCACAACATTCCCCTTTTCAACTAGATCACTTACTTTCAGGTGAGCACTGATGATGACGAAAGTCGAAAGCGCTTTGCAAGAATTTTAAAATATTATACACTTTAATACAAAACCTCTTCGATTCATTAATTATTATTTCTTTATTTCTTCATTTTATTAATATAAGTTCAAGGTCAAACCATTTTTCTTAATGCATAAGTGAAATTCAAACGTAACCCCCGTGTTTTCTCAACTGTAGCAAGTTGTCCAAGTTTTTCTTTCAACTTATATTTTATAGAAGCTTTTCAAAATCAAAAATAATTTTTGAAAAATTTTAATGCAATTCAATTTTTTGACGTCAGTGGTGTAGGATCTGGAACATGAGAAATGAAACGACTTGTATTAGCTCCTCTGTTGATCAAATTTTATTTTGGAAGTTATTATACTCCTTAAGTCGCATGGCGTGGATGTGGCTTATGAGCAATGTCGGAGGACAGTGGGACGCGCATGGGGTCTTCCACCCCATGTGGTCACCTGGATCTACACTGCAATAATAAGACCTATGTTGAAGTACGGAGACATTGCATGGGGACCGAAAGTTCTACAAGCAAAGGCCATTCAAAAATTATATCAAATACAGCGGCTGGCTTGTTTAAACATCACAGGAGTCATGAGAACAACAACACCAACCGCGACAATGAAATTAATTACGGGTCTGACCCCTCTGACCCCTCTGGAGGTTGCGTGAATGGCCATGGATTGCGCACGGCTGGTGTAAACCTCGAAGTAGGAATGGGTCAATTGAGGCTAGGCCTATGGCGACGAGCGCTTACTGCGTAACCTCTGCTGCAGGCAACAAGTAATGCAATTGAACCCAAGTATGTGTTAAATGAACCCTACAAAATACAAATAAAATAGAACACAGAGTCATATGCTACATATGATGGCCTATAGCCTATAGGCCATCTAGGCCTATGGCGACAAGCAATTACTGCGCAACCTCTGCTGCAGGCAACAAGTGATGCAATTGAATCCAAGTTTGTGTTCAATGAACCCTACAAAATATAAATAAAATAGAACACAGAGTTATATGCTACAAATGCAATACGCATATACAAACGGCTCAAAAAACCAAGGAAGGCTCAGGATGTGGAGTGTACTTCAGATCACTAAGTCTAAGGATCAAGTGGGGAATGGGAAAAAATACCAGCATGTTCCAAACAGAACCGGTTGGTATCCCAATCGCCAAAAAAGAAATATCCAGGAAAGGAATTTCTGGCAAAAATATTACAATCTGCACTGACACCATACAAGCCCTATTGGCCTTGAACAGACAATGTGTAACCTCAGAGTGTCATCAAGATTTAGCCAAAGCCTCGGTAGATAATAACATTATCCTGTTACACCATTATGTTACACCCATGCTCAATCCCTAAAGAGATGGGGTGGAATCAAAGGATGCAATCTTGCCAGGATCACCTTGGGCGACCCTGGGAAGCTGGCGCCGAAGAAATATCTGGCGATGACCAGGAAAAATCTACGCTCAACAGTAGGATTTCTGACTGGCCACTGTCAACTGAGGAAACACCTCCATAATAAGGGCTAGTGGACACACCTCTATGCAGGATGTGTGAACAGGAAGATGAGACTGTCAGGCATGTCCTATGCGAGTGCTCGGAGTTATCATCAATAAGAGTGTGTGTGTTCGACGAGTCTTGGCCTACACCTGCCGATATTAAGGAGCTGTCTCCCAGTGACCTGTCCACCTTCCTGGAAAAGACAGGATGGACGATGACCTAGGAGGACAACTCTTCGGGAGGATGTACAATGGGTCATATGTGGCATAAGTGCTGTGGGCTTACACTCACCCTCCTTACTCTACAGATACAGATTCCTACGCAGGGTATATTAACAGTATAATAAATTCATCAATTACTTTTTGAGCCTCAAAGGTGAGCCCCGAATAATTATCCTTTTTTGGATCGTTCCGTCACGTGTGATGAAAAGTGGATCCTCTACAACAACAGGATGTTACTGTGCGGTGGTCAGCGGCTGGTATAATTCACTTTAACTTTCTGCAACCGGGCCAGACCATCACATTAGAGTCCTGTTGTAAGGAAATTGCATCCGCAGCGGCAGCCGGCACTGCTGGACAGAAGAGGTCTGATCCTGCTTGATGACAATGCCCGTTCGCAAATCACCTTCCTAAAATAGTCGTTCTATTTTAGGAAGTTCGAAGTTCTGTTTCACCCACCATACTTCCCAAACCCCTCGCCAACCGACTACCATCCTCTCAAGCAGTTCGAGAACTTCCTCTCTGGTATAACCTTAGCCTATCAAGACCACACAAAAACGGCCTTAGTCGACTCTTTTGAATTCCGATCACATTTTTGTGCTGACATAATCATTCAAATGACGCTCATTTACAGTTACAGTTTGAAGTAGACTCAAAAAAAACGGATAAAAACGATTTATTGCCACAATGTACCAAAAATCAGAATTTCTACTCTGTACTATAATTACGTATAGTGAGTTTTTCTTCTAATATTTTCTATAGGGAACGTACCCTGTGCAAGTGCGTCAGATAAATGCGAACTATTCAAATTTCCACTTACCATTTCCTTTATAAATCTCCAACTTCACAATACCACTAACAGTTTCCTCTGCTAGAGAGATGCATTTGCGAACGTAGTCAGCCTCTGGTGAAAACCAAAAACCGTTATAAATATAGTCAGACAGGCGATCTCGAAGGCTTTGCTTGACCCTGTAAACCTCTTTATCCAAGCAAAACAATTCGATATCTTCGTGAGCCTTATGCAGAATGTAAACGCCAGGGGTTTCGTACACCCCTCTGGACTGAAACACAAAAAAAAAAGATGTTGAGTACTTTACATACTGGAGTACATGCTGATTGCAATTGTATTGGATACCTTTCACAAGGGCAAAGACCACCGTATCAAAAATATCATCTCAACGTTAAATTCAAACTGAATGGTTTCATTAGATCATCAACAGATTTCAAAACAGATTAGATTATACTCATCCTGACATGAACTAACAACTGGTAGCGTTGATACGGAAATAGAAAGCCCTTTTGGTATTTACGTGTTTATCTACTAGGTCGGTCCATTTGGAGATACCGAATTCTTTGAGCACTCAGCAATAAAAGCACTCGGATAATCGATGACCAGAAATGAACAATCAGGAATTAACCAATACTTAATACAAAAAACGTTGACAGTAAAGATATTAATTAATATGCCGCTATAGGCCGTTTTGATCACGATATTACTACTGGAGAACTCTTACTTCGGAACAATATCGAATCAAAAGATTCGAGAATTGAACTGACAGAGATAGACCTTTACGTAAATTAAAAAGAGGGAACAAATGAGCAGTTAAAAGTAACTGCCTGAATCTTAATTTATCCAGAATCTACTTTTCGATTAACTTCAGTCAAACTCGATAATTATTACCCCGTCAACAGCTGTCTTAGGTGCACAGAGAAAAGGAAAATGCTTAAAACTGTCCTCTAATTTTAGGAATGAACTGTAGATTTCAGTACTAAGCTCCAAAATATATCAACAATATCAGGGCTTCTACTCACGGCTTATCATCATTTTTGATATTTTTTCTTATATACTTGCTACGGCTCTCCGTTGGTACTTTCTAGAGTGTCTCCTCATATCTAAAAGAATGATATGTATGATGCAACTATAGCTTTTCCGAAGAATTTCTCTCATTACAAGATAAATATGCTTTGAAAGCTTTTTTAACCACCAAAAAAATGAATAAAAGGTCTGACAGTGCTCGATGTAAATCTTTCATAGGTGATCTTATTATTCTTGTCCAAAAACCTGAAAACATGTGTTATGGAATTCTCTACCGATATTTCAAGAATAGGAAATGAAAATATTGAATTGATGAATTTGACTGACCTTAGATGTTTTTAGGTTTCGGACAGTCCCTTGCTAGAACCTTGCTTTTGTGTTGGCTTTACAATAGATACTAATCTGAATCGTTTTTAAATCGTGACCGTGAAAATCTCCTCGGTTTTATTCACTCCTGCTTAGTAGACGACCCACAATCCCAGCAATATGCTGATAAAATAACAAACCTACAGGGCGACTCTACTGAGTCTTCTGAATTCAGAAATTTAAACCGTTACAAGATGAAACTTTTTCACTCCGAGTTAAAGTAGCAACAGCAAACAACAACAGCAAAGCCTTAATATGGGATATTTTTTAGGCTTTTCTAACGAGATTCATAGTATCTCTGACGATAATTGTCTATGGAAAATGCTGATAGAAATTTCATTAAATCAGTCGGAATTCCGGATAACAATGCTGCATCATTCATTTTTTGGTATATATTTGACAAATTTGATAGAAAAGTTGAGAGAGATGAAATTTCCGAATTTTATTCGTAATTTTTATTTTCTTCCACTGCCCAGAGTAATCATACATGTAGTTAAGAAAGCATGACATTCATGAAAAGTAGTTAGGAACCTTAACAAATGTCGAAGTATACTACCTAGTTTTGAAATGGGTCAGAGTGAATAAAATAATTACCTTCATCCCTATGAAACGGTTCTCTACAATGTCGATTCTTCCAACACCGTGTTCTCCTCCTATTTCATTGAGAAACAATAGAATCTCCAAAGGCTTTTCAATTCTTCTACTTCCGCTTTCCACCAAAACTGGAATACCTTTCTCGAAATGTACCTGAATCCGAAGAGATGTATCTGGAGCTAGTTTCAGATCTTTGGTCATCACAAAAAGGTCCTCTGGAGGTTCGTTATCTGGATTTTCTAGAATTCCAGACTCGTAACTGATGTGCATCAAGTTGGCGTCCATGCTCCAAGGAGCTTTTGGCGTTGCCGAGACTGGAATGTTGTTTTCGGAGGCGTATCTCAGAAGATCCTGTCTTCCTTGAAACTTCGTGGTGAATTCTTCTTGCCTCCAGGGTGCGATTATCTACGAAATGATATTTTAGGCGGTATAAATCAAGCTGAAGGAATTTCTCAGAAGGAAAAGGTGGAGCCCATGAGGGCTCATTGCGCTTTACTCCCACCTTTTTCATGACACAATTTTGTTTTTGGGTTTCCCAGACTTTTTTGCCTGCTGTAATCTAGTGCATCACATTGGCATGAAATTAAGACCAAAATTCAAGTAATTCTACGGCAAAATGAGATAATTTCTTACACACCCCGTCATAACCTCACATCAGAAGAGGAAATGTTGGCAAAGGGCTAAAATGGTTTTTGTGTTAATAATAGGGGATATTATAAACTTTCCGATCATTTCGAACTGCCGATAGTTTGACTAAGTGATATTTGTAATATAATTTAGACAAATATTTGGAAATATTTGTAAGAAAAGTAATATGGAGGGACGAATCAAAATTCACCAACAATGGTTGGTTTAACAGAAATATCCATAATAGGTGGAATAATAACAAATGAACATTTACATAGGGAAACAATTTCCAAGAAAGGTTAGGAATAAATGTTTGGTTGGGAATTGTGGGAACAAAGATCCTTGACCCTTCCTTTTACGATGATCATTTGAATAGTGAAAAGTATCTTCATTTTCTATTCAATGAATTCGTTGGCTACTTAGATGAATTTCCACTGAATATACGTCATGAAATACAATGCTTTCAACAGGACGGCGCTCCTCCCCATAATGCAGTAATAGTAAGGGAACATTCAGATGCAATATTCCCAAGAAAATGGATTGGAAANGTTCATTTATGAGATACTGGGACAACCTGTATCGAAGTGTAAATTTGATTTGATTAATTTCAAAATATACCGACGGGCAGTAAAAATATCAACTTCTATATTCTTCTTCTATATTATGTCTATATCTTTGGGAAAAAAAGTTTTTGGCTTTCTACTACTCCATCTTGATACAAAAAAATTTGAGAATCTTCCAATGAAAGGAAGGAAGTAATCAATTTGAAAATAAGTAACTCTATACACGGATGTGTAGATCATGCAAAGTAGCAACTTTCAGGCACAAACTGGAAGAAAGCCAGTATACAGATACTCATTTTCCAATTGATTACTTCCTTCCTTTTTTTGGAAGATTCCCACGTTTTTTGTATCAAAATGGAGTAGTAGAAAGCCAAAAACTTTCTTTCCCAAAAAATAATCACTCCTAAAAATATAACCCCTTCAAATTCAAATGTCTATATCATTATTTAAATCATTTATCTAATAATCAATTAATTTTTCAGATAAGCAGAATGAATAAGATGTTATTCTGAAGCTACATAATGTGAAAACTTGCTATTAGAATTATTAACCAGATCCCATTCAACAGATCACAAAACAACATTTGAAAAACAGTGAAATAATCTACATCTCACCTTAATTTCTGGCCAAAGCGAGTAACAAGACAGCTCGAATCGGACTTGGTCATTGCCTTTTCCTGTTGCTCCATGTGCAATGTAATGCGCATTGTTTTCTTTGGCGCATTTGACCAGACTCACTGATATACAGGGTCTCGCCAAAGATGTTCCCAGTAAATAGCGAGATTCATACAACAGTCCTGCCTGGACAGCTGGCAGCACATAATCTTTGACGAATGTTTCTCGAACGTCTTCAATTACCACCTGAGGAAAAAAATTTGGTAAATTTTCGTTTTGTGGACACCTGGCGATTTTGAAAAAATTNGCATGGATATATAGTTTTGAAAAATAAAAACCATCTCTCAAAATACATTCAAATCAAGTTCCATGAGACATATTTGAAGTGGATAACATTTTCCTTTCGACATTTAACTTTGAACAACGAAAATTTCAAATCAAGGGTAAACGGAAGTGTAGTTTTATATAGTCAAAATTCGAAAAGGTTAATTTGAAATCTTCTGACTCTTTAATAGAAAATGAATTTATATAACTGCTCAAAAAAGTACACCACTGTTTAAAAAAGACAGCCCTAGCCAACGAGAAACTATGATCCTAGCCCATTTTAATCTTAGAATATTGTTTAAAAGTACATATGGTTTCTATTCAGAAAAATCAGCATTGTCCAACCATCGACGGTATTGTCGTTTAACCCTGCTGCGACATAAACGCACCCTAAGATTATCATTCCGTCGACCTACCTTGGCAGCTCCGATCTTCAACGCTTTCTCTCTAGCCTCCTCAAAGTTTTCATCCTGGCCTATGTTCGCCATATAACAAATCACCTCGTAATCTTTGTCCATAAGCCATTTCAGAATGCAACTGGTATCCAAACCGCCGGAATAAGCTAGCACGACTCTAGCTTTGCTCATCATAGCGATATTGAATTCACACTGTTTCGATGTCCTTCGCGACAGATCATTCGTGATATCAACGTATTTATTTCTTTTGTGTGAGATAAAACATTCATGTGTTGTTCGTTGTGTTAGTTTGAGGCAGCATTGCCGGTTGGGATTCTCCAATTTGCTATTTTTAAACACGAGAACATTGAACCACATTAATATTCTCGCTTCTCTTAATGACTTACCAGGGAATATCGTTATTTTAAGTTATTGTCCAATTCAAGGCATTTGGCTCAAAACCAGAGAGTAGTAAGATTTTGAGATCCCAATGTTGGCATGTACATTAAAAAGAAACTGGAATAATATAAATTGATGGATGTAGCCGTTACTATGAGGTAGGAAATCATTATGAAGGAAAGACAATTGAAACTTTCTATATTTTTTACCATGTATCATGTATGAGTTTGAAAATGTCCTAATAGGATGAAACTGCAGTAACGTTAGTTACAAATGAAAGTGGTTAAAGACATAGAAAGTTTCAATTCTCTTTTCTTCATTGGAATAATGTAGTCCCACTTATTTTTTGAGGTAATGCTGCTTCGGTCGGAACAATTTCTCCTTATCATAATTTTGATAAGATCGTGCATTGCCCTCATTCCAGTATGGAACTAAAATCTTCTCGAAACAAGCCAAGATATGTGTATATTCATCAGTCTCCTATCAAGGTTAATTCGCAAGTGATTGATCCACCTTCTTCTTTTTCGTGCGGCCAATGGACTTTGGTCATTCTTGTCCTCCAAATATGAGCTGCAGTTCTCGTGGTTCTGGTTAACTTTCAGTGGAATAGTTTCATGAAGCAAGAGTCGAATCGAACCCTTTAATGAACCCTTCATCACTTGGAAGGATCGATTGCAGTTTGAGAAATGGTTCTGATGCAGATTCTGTGAAACATGTTCTTTCTCATGAATCAGTAGAGAGTTGTTCTGAAAATCTTGAGAAGAAAATTCGATTAGATAATTTAGGAAACACTTGTTACATGAATAGCATTTTACAAGTGTTGTTCATGACGAATAAATTCAAGAACGAAGTTTTAACGATGAACGAGACCGAAAATGTTTTCTACATATTCACCAAACTCAAACAATTGTTCATGCAGTTGCAGTTTCGAAAGAATGTATCATCTTTCTCACCAACCAATTTCCTGGAGTCTTTGAAGTCTACTAGGTACTCGTTAGGACAAGAGGATTGCTCCAAATTCTTGAGGTTCTTGTTGAATACTCTTCGTGACCAAACAAATAGCAGAATCAATACTTCTGACCGCTCTAGATTGAATGATTCCATACAGTCTATCTCGTCTTGTGTTTATAGATATTTTGCTGGAAAAATCCTCACTTGTTTACTTTGTAGTAAATGTTCAAGAAGTAACAAAAACGAATGTGATTTTCTGGAACTTCAACTAGCCTAATATGACTGATAACCAATCCGTGCAAAGCGTATTGTCGAATCATCTGAAAATGGAACTATCAACGGGTGATGATCAACTGTATTGCCAAACATGTGCCAAACTAACCGACTATTATAAAAAAACAAGTCTAGCTGAGGCACCAGTCAATCTTATAGTGACACTGATGATCTTCAAACATGAGTCAACCTCTGACGGATGCACCAAACTCTTAGGAAAGTTCGAAATAGATGAACAGTTCAATCTAGCAGACAGTTCTTATGATCTTCATGCAGTCATTGTTCACTGAGGTTCTGGCGTTGAATCAAGTCATTATTACGCATTGGTCAAAGATAAAACAGACTGGTTTAAGTTTGACGATAGTTGTGTCAATGTAGTGTTCTGGCGATGTTTTAAATTTAATGAAGCCCTCGAAGACACCCTACATGTTGTTTTATGAAAGAGACGACATTGGCAGATCAAAATCTTCAGATGATGTGGTGCTGCAGGTTTTTCCGAGTTTTCCTGGAGCTGTAAAAGCAAATGCGCCACTGGAATCAATGAAGTCGCCCCGGAGCGCCAATTAATTTTTGTTATTTCATAATTTCAAAATGTGCCTTTCCAAATAGAAAACTCATTCCTGTAATTTATGATGCATTAAAAAAATAAAATGAAGAAAACATTTTAAAAATTCTTAGAAACGAAGTGAATTCAGGGTTCTCTCTTTATATTAATAAAAATGCTATGAACAGCCACAGTTTTCTTGCCCAATTACAACAAAACATCTCTTGATATGTGTTTTGGAATCTGGTAGGTATTTTCACAATCAATCGGCATATATGAAACCAAATATGCAAAATATGTTCCTAGTAACTATGCTAATATTTTCGTTTGGTTTGATCAACACATTTCTTATCCAATCCTCGCAGCTTATTTCGTAAATCCCAGACTTTCCTTTTTCCAACGTCTTGTCTTTCGGACTGCTCAACACTTGTTGAAGTGTATGTGCAGTTTCGAAAACTACTCAATTGTTTCAATGTTCGGACCAATTCAATGGTGTATTTGGGTTCATATGGAAGCACTATGAATTGTGAATCTTCCTGTTTTCGAAACGTCGAGGCATTACGAAGATACTTTCGTTTCTGATTGCGTTACACCCAGCGAATTGAATGTCTGCAACAGTTTCTAGTAATCGGAATGTTGTTGATAGGTACCAACGGAATTGTTAGATGTTTTATTACTTGGTAGGTCCAGTGTAGTACGCTATACTTTTATTTCGGCTACTAGTGTCCGACCGAAAGTTCGGTTTCGGTTTCTGTCGAGTTTAGGCAAAAAAACGGGTTTCGGTTCAGTTTCGGTTTCGGCGGCAAACCTGCCGAAACTACGACCGAAACCGAAACTGCATTCAGGAGTTCCCGCGCTGTGCTCGGTCATGTTCGGCGCGTTGAATTTCATACAAGCGACGAAGACATTTTGCCGCGTCCACGTGCCTTATCATGTAGTGACTCGTGACTTACTTTGTGATTTACTTTGTTTATTACATAAATATTAAATACCTTGTGATAGTAGGTAACAACTTAAATAAGTAATTTTATGTTTAATATTTTTGAAAAACCATCAATAATATTCAAAAGAAGGATCTACACCTACTCAAATAAACACCTCACCTATTTTAAGTATTTTTGAGGTACAATTAATATTTTTTCTCAAATAAGTGTTTGTTATGTTGATTATAATGTCGAAGACTCCATTACGTTGTGATTTAAAGAAAAAACAATAAAAACTGAGTGATTATAATAACGTTTTCTTCATTTTCCCCCAAAACATAATCCTTGTGAAGAAGTTTCAGTTTCGGTTTCGGCCGAAACTGAGACCGTTGCCGAAATTCGTTTTCGGTTTCGGTCGTAAAAACCAGTTTCGGTCGGACACTAATTTTAAAATTAGTTATTGTCGAAATTCTTTTTCGTCCCTTATCTCCAAAACAAAGCGCCCTATCAAAAATCATTATAGGACAAAATATCCAAGGAATATTCCTTTAATTTTTGGTCCGCATGTTTAATAATCACTAAGTTAAGTCACAACGTTTCGATTGTTAGTATCCACAATCGTCTTCGGGTGATAACTGGACTGTGCCTTCGGGCTCTGCAATACAACGGAAAGTCTCGAAGGGAAACTAGGCATCATCAAAAACGACCTTCCGAGATCTGAGTATTTATAAGTCGTTCGAGTGCTTTCACCTATCCACTCTTCCCTCTTTCCGCTTCATTGGTTTTGGCGGGAGATGACCGTTTGGCGGGAGTTTTTTGCTTGATAAGACGTTTCCATATGTTACGTATCTCTACGCTCGCTTGACTAAATGCGTTGTTGGACAACATATATGCGGCTTCTTTGAATTTACTCCTAAACCAGTGTTCCTCTTCGTGGATGATCTCAGCTTGAACCCACTTGATGTTGTGTTGATGAGTCCAAACATGCTCTTCTATCCCGGATTTGCTGGTTTCTCCTCGCTGGGTGTGTTTCTTGTGCTCAGCAATGCGAACTTTCAATGGCCTCTTAGTTCCACCGATGTATGATTCTCCGCACTCGCAGGGTATCCGGTAAATGCAATTCTTGGAATCGCAGTCTGCGTTTGGTAGCCTGGTTTTCGTGAGGCTGCTACGGATAGTGTTTCCAGATCTGATGTTATACTTGGACTCAATGCGTCTTAGCCTTTCCGATAATCCTCTGATGTAGGGAAGTACAAGTACTGGTTGTAGCGGCTTCTCTTCCTTGTGGAGTTCTTGCTGTCTTCTAGCTAAAGCCTGTTCTACCATCACTTTGGAGTACCCATTCCGTTGAAGGTCATTTTTAGTGATGCCTAGTTCCTTTTCGAGACCTTCCTTTGTATTACAGAGCCCAAAAGCACGGTCCAGTAGAGTCTTGATGATTACTCTCTCAGTCAATTGATGGTTGTTGGATTTCTGGTTCAGATACTGTCCTGTGTGAGTGGGTTTTCGATATTCAGATGTTTCCCATTTGTTGTCGGTCCTCTTCACCAATACGTCTAAGAAAGGCAATTCGTTGTGCATTTCCTTCTCCATTGTGAAAGTGATGGAAAGCCTTACGTTATTGATGTGCTTCAGGAAAGTGTCTAGTTCTGCATTCCCATGGTTCCATATTATGAAGGTGTCGTCTACGTATCTCAACCAGACCCAGGGCTTCTTCTGGGCTTCTTCAATGACCAAATTGTAAAGAGGCTTTCCACGTCGGAACTGATCAGTTGATCCTGCTCTTTAACTTCGATTTCCCCTAGTAGTTCAAAGAAATGCCTTGAAATTTTCACAAAAATATCTTTCAGGTCCCCATCTTCGGATAGCTTCTTCTGTATGATTTGAAGTGCTTCTTCGAAGTCCGAAAAATACTATTGAACTTATCGAACGTCGCTGGAAAGAGTGTAAAGAGCCACATCATTTGGAAAAATAAAAACATTTTTTTTTATTTTCTTTGTTGGTCCGGGTATTTCTGGGACCACCATCGTATATAAATTTATGATCGGGCATTCCTAAAGAATCATTTCGTAGAGGTATATTTTCAATTTGGTATTCTGTCTAAGCTTCTTCTACATCACTTTTGATTAGCTCATTCCTAGTCATTAAAACTCTACATGTTAATTGAATATGTGTCAAATAGAGTTTCATGAAATTCAATAAAAGTGATTCTTTAGAAAGTTAGATCAACTAATTCTTAAACAAAGATCTCTTTTCAAAAATAGT